AAAGGAATTAGCATATAATTTAGAATTGAAATGGCTGAGTGATTAGCATGTGACTGGTCACAGAAAAGGCTATGTTAAAGTTAAAGCATACACATCCGCAAAGGCACCCCTTGACAAAGGAATTAGCATAGAATTTAGCATTGAAATAGCTGAGTGATTAGCTTGTAACTGGTCACAGAAATAGCTATGTTAAAGTCAGAGCATGTACATTCACCGAGGCACCTAGTACAAATCAAACAGGAGAATTTAGCATTGAAATAACTAGGCGAATTTAGCATTGAAATAACTGAATGATTAGTTTGTGACTGGTCACAGAAAAGGCTATGTTGAAGTTAAGGCCTACACATCTGAGCTATTCACAGTAACTGGGTATACAATACAATATATAATGAATACTATATAGTGAACCAATAAAAAATACTAAAATATAAATTACCTCAATGTTATCAATAAACTCTATATTCTCCAATCAGCTAAGCTACCAACAATAAGTCGTTATACATCACAATGCTATATGGCGAAAAATGGGTGGATTCTAACCCTCAAATTTAGCAAAACGGATAGCTACGGGTCCCGTTCAGACGGACGAGTTCATCCATGGTCGGAACAGAGGAGGGGGAGAGAGACAGCTGCGAGACGCTGTTATACTCCATGTTGTAAACCATACCATTAACCGTGGTGTGAGAGGTATTAAGAGTCAATACCAGCGAAAGAGCTGCGGTCTGAAGGTCATCGTAAAATACAATTAATTAAGAACGGAAATGGTTTAAAACATCTTTCCAATGGTTACTAAGCCAGAATCCATCTTCTCGGTTGAAATTGTCTCTGTGCTTGTATATGTGAATGGCCTCATGAACGAATCTCTCATGGTAGCAGGTTGGTTTGCAAAGAACCTCCGTCTTGGAGAAGTCAATGTCATTCGAGCCCACTGAATTATAACAGTGATCTGCCACGGCAGAGGAGTTCATTCTACCGTGTTTCAAGTCTGCTTTATGTTCGCGGATGCGGTCCGAGATATGTCGTTTGGTTTCTCCAATGTAGCTACTACCACAGAGGCACTTTAGTTTGTAAACGCCCGGGTAATGTATGTCTGGAACAGCATCTTTTACAGATGGAACTAAATCACGGATTTTATGTACTGTGTTGAATCGGACCTGGATCTTGAGTGTATTCAGAATTTTGGAGATCTTTTTAGTGACCCCTGCAATGTAGGGTAAGGTGATGGTTTTGAGTTGCTCCACAAGAGGATCCTTCTTCATGACTGGAGTGATGGCTTTGCAGATTGTGTAGTCGGAGTAACCATTAGCCCTGAGAGCCTGGTGTACGTGCTTGAGTTCACTGGCAATGTGTTCCTGGTCGGAAATGCATTGGGCTCTATGGTATAGAGTCTTGATGAGGGAGTTCTTCTGGGATTGATGGTGGTGGGAATCCGGTTTCAAGTAAGCATCTGTATGGGTAGCTTTCCTGTAGACAGAGTGGCTCATTGAACCATCATGTCTCCTTTTAATGAAGACATCCAAAAAGGGTAGTTTGACATCTTTTCGACCTCCATGGTAAATCTGATGGCTGGGTGTATGGAATTGATGTGATCGCGGAATTGGTCTAGAGCAGGCTGGCCATGTGGCCAGATGACAAAGGTGTCATCCACGTACCTCTTGCATAAGGTCGGGCGTAGAGTGGCAGTCTGGATGGCGTCAGTTTCAATTTTTTTCCACATCAAGGACTGCACACTGATGTACCCCCCCCTGGTGAGACATTGCTTAACCAACACATACTTCACCTGGAATGGAACTTTCTACAAACAAACTGAGGGCACCCCAATGGGCTGCCCCCTATCTCCGGTTGTAACCAACGTATTCATGGAAAAAAATTTCAAACTGACGCCATCCAGACTGCCACTCTATGCCCGACCTTATGGAAGAGGTACGTGGATGACACCTTTGTCATCTGGCCACATGGCCAGCCTGCACTAGACCAATTCCGCGACCACATCAATTCCATACACCCAGCCATCAGATTTACCATGGAGGTCGAAAAAGATGGCAAACTACCCTTTTTGGATGTCTTCATTAAAAGGAGACATGATGGTTCAATGAGCCACTCTGTCTACAGGAAAGCTACCCATAAAGATGCTTACTTGAAACCGGATTCCCACCACCATCAATCCCAGAAGAACTCTCTCATCCATACTCTATACCATAGAGCCCAATGCATTTCCGACCAGGAACACATTACCAGTGAACTCAAGCACGTACACCAGGCTCTCAGGCCTAATGGTTACTCCGACTACACAATCCGCAAAACCATCACTCCAGTCATGAAGAAGGATCCTCTTGTGGAGCCACTCAAAACCATCACCTTACCGTACATTTCAGGGGTCACTAAAAATATCTCCAAAATCCTGAATAAACACAAGATCCAGGTCCGATTCAACACAGTACATAAAATCTGTGATCTAGTTCCATCTGTAAAAGATGCTGTTCCAGACATACAGTACCCGGGCATTTACAAACTAAAGTGCCTCTGTGGTCGTAGCTACATTGGAGAAACCAAACGACATATCTCGGACCGCATCCGCGAACATAAAGCAGACTTGAAACACGGTAGAACGAACTCCTCTGCCGTGGCAGATCACTGTTATAATTCAGTGGGCTCAAATGACATTGACTTCTCCAAGACGGAGGTTCTTTGCAAACCAACCGGCTACCATGAGAGATTCGTTCATGAGGCCATTCACATATACAAGCACAGAGACAATTTCAACCGAGAAGATGGATTCTGGCTTAGTAACCATTGGAAAGATGTTTTAAACCATTTCCGTTCTTAATTAATTGTATTTTACGATGACCTTCAGACCGCAGCTCTTTCGCTGGCATTGACTCTTAATACCTCTGACACCACGGTTAATGGTATGGTTTACAACATGGAGTATAACAGCGCCTCGCAGCTGTCTCTCTCCCCCTCCTCTGTTCCAAATATGGATGAACTCGTCCGTCTGAACGGGACCCGTAGCTATCCGTGTTGCTAAATTTTAGGGTAAGAATCCACCCATTTATCGCCATATAGCATTGTGATATATAACGACTTATTGTTGGTAGCTTAGCTGATTGGAGAATATAGAGTTTATTGATAACTTTGAGGTAATTTATATTTTAGTATTTTTTATTGGTTCACTATATATTATTCATTATATATTGTATTGTATACCCGGTTACTGTGAATAGCTCAGATGTGTAGGCCTTAACTTCAACATAGCCTTTTCTGTGACCAGTCACAAGCTAATCACTCAGTTATTTCAATGCTAAATTCGCCTAGTTATTTCAATGCTAAATTCTCCTGTTTGATTTGTACCAGGTGCCTCGGTGAATGTATATGCTCTGACTTTAACATAGCTATTTCTGTGACCAGTTACAAGCTAATCACTCAGCTATTTCAATGCTAAATTCTAGTGTAATTCCTTTGTCAAGGAGTGCCTCTGCGGATGTGTATACTTTAACTTAGCTATTTCAATGCTAAATTCTATGCTAATTCCTTTGTCAAGAGGTGCCTTTGCGGATGTGTATGCATTAACTTTAACATAGCCTTTTCTGTGACCAGTCACAAGCTAATCACTCAGCCATTTCAATGCTAAATTATATGCTACTTCCTTTGTCAAGGCACTTTGTTTCTTCTCACACAGCTTAAAGTTCGCGATCTCAGCGTGGCTTTCTCACTCCAGCGCTGTCCTCCAGAGAGTCTCGTCCCCTTCACCTGATGAAGGCCGCTTGTGTTGTGGCCGAAACGTCGTGAGAATATTATTGTGTTATTTTATTTTATCAATTTATTATTTTATTCTCATTCTACGTGACTTTACCGAAAGAATCAAAGAAGATTACCTAGTAAATTGAGCGTGGGGGGGGGCGAATGAGGCTGCGTAGTAGCTCCTTACCCACGCCAGCGCCCGCGCCGCAGCTGGTCTATTTTTTGCGCGTGCACGTGGTGAGCGACGGTAGACTCGCACGGGTACGCACGGGATTATTAATACGGCTATTTTTAGCGCGTGCACGAGGTGGCCAATAGGGGCGGGTGGCTGCGCGTACCCGAGTGTGGGCAGCGGCGCGCACGGGCACTCCCGTGCAAGGAGTCTGGGAGTGTGTGTGAATGACCCGAGGTGGCCGAGAGCCAGGCAAGAGTTTCGTCTCACAGGGGGGATGCGGAGGCAGCGAGGTCGAAGCTACGAGCGGCAGCAGCGAGGAGGGAGGAAGAGGAGGAAGGGGGAGAGGAGTCGGGGGGCAGCAGCCCCTACAGAGTCACTTGAGTTGAATGTGAGTGGTGATGATTGCGCGCCGTGCCTCGAGCTTGTTCAAGGCGCGCAATCATTCTGCAGTGCATAGCGATCATGAGCCACTCACCTCTTGCCACGTAATATGTTAAACTACGTGTTTAATGTCGGTTAATTTTGAGTAATTTGCTTCAGTTTGTGTTCCATCTCAAAATCCATGTATTTATTCATTTTAAAGTACGATTAAAACGTTAAATCTAAAAGTTCGGTGACAAGGGACGGTTGACATGACGCGCAGTCCTCACCATAGCGCGAGAGTAGGAATCGCGTGCGCGCGAGCCAACAATTACATTGAAAATGTTTAGCTGGACTTAAATATGAGTAGTCTGTTGAAGCATTTTGTCTTGCAAAAAATTCGAGTGCGTTTTAAATAGTGAAGACAATCATCGTATCTTGCCCTGACCGAACAATTTCTCCCAACTGTTGGTTGTTCACTTGTTTTGAATTAGAATTTAAATCGTGAACATTGTCGTAGATTGCATAAGTTACGTACATTAAAGAAATTATATTCGTGGTAATTTATCAACTAGATGCATTTAAGTATGAACGTTACGGGAGTAATCGAGCCCAAAGGCAGGGGTGATTGACACGGCGAGTATGGTGGCAGCTCATTCACCGGAGCTGAGTGCTGGGTGATCTCAGCGACGTCCGCACAAACTCTACGCCGCTTCTATAATAAACCTCGGGCCTGGAGGATGCTCGTCACGAATTTGTGAGAGCGCTGATTTCAAAGAGGCCAGGCGATAAAAACGACGTTTTGAGATGGCGGAAACTGCTCCTGCTCAACCACCAGCTGCGGCTACTTCAGCGCTTAAAAGCCCCAAAAAGAAGCGCACCGCTCCAAAGGCCAAGAAGGTCGGCCCCAGCGTGTCCGAGCTCATCCTCAAGGCTCTCGCCAGCAGCAAGGAGAGGAACGGCGTGTCTCTTCCTGCGCTCAAAAAGTCGCTCGCTGCCGGAGGATACGACGTGGAGAAGAACAATGCCCGCGTGAAGTTAGCCATCAAGAAGCTTGTGGCCAAAGATGCCGTGGCGCAAGTGAAGGGCAGCGGCGCGTCTGGCTCTTTCAAACTCAACAAGAAGGAAAAGGCTGCCGCAAAGGCGAAGCCCAAATCGTCAACGGCAAAGCCCGCAGCTAAAAAGCCCGCTGCAGCCAAGAAGGTGAAGAAGCCCGCGGCAGCCAAGAAGACCGCGCCCAAGAAGTCTCCCAAGAAAGCAAAGAAGTCCGCGGCTGCCAAGAGCCCCAAAAAGGTGAAGTCGGCTGTTAAGCCCAAGAAGGCGGCAAAGAGCCCAGCCAAGCCCAAGGCTGCGAAGCCCAAGGTCGCTAAGCCCAAGACCGTCAAGGCAAAGGCCACCAAACCCAAGGTGGCCAAGCCCAAGAAGGCCGTGGCCAAGCCCAAGAAGACCGCGCTAAAGAAGTGAATCCGATCGGACGATGCGCGATTCCCTCCACCCCAACGGCTCTTTTCAGAGCCACCCACTTAGTTCAAAAAGTGAACCAGATGTTGCTGCGCTTCAATTAGTTAATCGTTAACACCTGACAGTGTATTACATTGAAGCTTAATGCGTGCCATATTCTGTAAGTCAAACCCATTTACGGCGTGGCGATGGTTGCTCGCCGTGCCTCGGCCCTGATCAAGGAGCTCGACGGTTGCAGTTCAATCGTGAGGATTTGTGTAGATTGGATAAGTTACGTACATTCGCCAAATTATCTTGATGACATTTTACCCACTTCGATGTGTTTTAAGCATTGATGTGATGGGAGTAATCGAGCCCGAAAGCAGGGATCATAAACACAGGCGAGGCAGGTGGCAGCTCCCTCACTCGAACTGAGTGCAGAGTAATCTCAGCGACGTCCGCATTCTCGCTGCCGATTCTAATCTAAATCCAGATTCAAAATCGATGCATTCTTGACGAACCTCCAATTTTGATTATGTGTTGCACCTCTTCATTCCGTCATCATGTTACTGGTGCCAAATATGGTATTTAGTCTAAAAATGTATTGATTCCAGACAACTTTACTCAATTTGCCTCCTTTCGCTCGTTGCGCCTTTTCACTATTTTTTGTTTTGTAAAAATTGCGGTGCACCATCTACACTTCTCAATTAAAAATAATTTCCATTCGTAATTATCGCATTGTTTTTGCAATGTCTTTATCTTCATCATTAGACCTTCTTTGCCAGTACCAAAATGTTTTATATATATTATCATAGTATGTTTTTTGTTTGCATTTTGACTGCAGGTATTGTGGTTAATGCATACATGAATCCTTGTAATAAGGTTTCAGTTTTGTTGCAAGAAAAAAGGGGAAAAAACCCTATATTAAATGCCTTTCTTACTTTGGGACTAGTTGGTGACGTTCACTCAACTATTGTGTTGGAAGCCGATTAGCTGCACATCTTGTTCTACTTGAAAACAAGACCTTAGATCGATTATTCACTCCACGTGCAATCTTGCAACAGATCGCGTCCCTCTCGCGTTCGCTGCGGGTGTGCCGAAATCATTACAGAGTGCTTCGAAGAAGGGTCATTGCCCGAAACGTCTCATACATTTCAAGGAAGTGTTATTGACGACGGTGGAGGGTTTACTTCGTCACAGAGTTAAAGGTCAGAGGTTTAAGGCGGAGCCATCGCGGAGGGCAGAGGTGGTCGGTGACGTCACCACGCTCCGGGTATAAAGGCGGCTGCTGCAGGCTGGGCGCGCCATCTCTCGCGAGCTTTGTCAGAAGTAGCAGAGTTAGTCGCCATGTCTGGACGCGGGAAAGGCGGTAAGGGGCTCGGTAAGGGAGGCGCAAAACGCCATCGTAAGGTGCTGCGCGACAACATCCAGGGAATCACCAAGCCCGCCATCCGCCGCCTCGCTCGCCGCGGCGGTGTGAAGCGCATCTCGGGCCTCATCTACGAAGAGACCCGCGGCGTCCTGAAGGTCTTCCTTGAGAACGTCATCCGCGACGCCGTCACCTACACGGAGCACGCCAAGCGCAAGACCGTCACCGCCATGGACGTGGTCTACGCCCTCAAGCGCCAGGGCCGCACTCTCTACGGCTTCGGAGGCTGAGTGCCCATCTCTCGCGCACTAAACCAACCCAAAGGCTCTTTTCAGAGCCACCCACCTCTTCTAAACTGCTTGCGCGCCAGTGTTACCAAACCGTTCACGAAAGAAACACTTATTAATGGGTTGTTGCTCGCCAATTCCTCGTGAGCGTGGACCGGGCTCTTCTCGTGGACGCGCGGTGGCTCGAGGTGCCGTCTGCTGCCGCTCTGCTCGGTTACGATGTTTTCTTGTTCATGTTTTTTGCGTGTTGCGGTTGCACCCGATTCAAGAGCCGAATGGCTCACAGGGCTTTACCAAATAAATGAAACTGAGAACTGAGGTTCACGCAGAGATCGTTTGCTTGTTGAGTTAGCGAATCTTCATCTGCTTCCAAATGAATGAAAGAAATCACAATATTCAAGATACGTCACATTTAACAAGGCGCAATTCTTGAACGCGTTAATACAGTACACATTTCTGGTATTTTTGCGTGAATTATTTCAGCTGCAGCCGATTCCGATATTACGTAGAGCATTTGGCAGCCACAATCTTACAGCACACTCGTCCTAATTGACGTAGCGCGCCAGAATGCTAATATCCACCCGTAAAATACAGCACAACAGCGAAGTTATTTTTCCACACCGAGCACATGTATTTTTTCCAAAATTGCGTTCATAAAACGCCCGTGCTGTATTAGACGAGTTGTGAAACAAAAAAAGAAGCAAAAAAGCCACGCTAAAAAAGATGGCAAACTATCATTTTTGGATGTCTTAATTAAAAGGAGACATGATGGTTCAATGAGCCACTCTGTCTACAGGAAAGCTACCCATACAGATGCTTACTTGAAACCGGATTCCCACCACCATCCATCCCAGAAAAACTCCCTCATCAAGACTCTATACCATAGAGCCCAATGCATTTCCGACCAGGAACACATTACCAGTGAACTCAAGCACGTACACCAGGCTCTCAGCGCTAATGGTTACTCCGACTACACAATCCGCAAAGCCATCACTCCAGTCGTGAACAAGGATCCTCTTGTGGAGCCACTCAAAACCATCACCTTACCCTACATTACAGGGGTCACTAAAAAGATCTCCAAAATCCTGAATAAACACAAGATCCAGGTCCGATTCAACACAGTACATAAAATCCGTGATTTAGTTCCATCTGTAAAAGATGCTGTTCCAGACATACATTACCCGAGCATTTACAAACTAAATTGCCTCTGTGGTAGTAGCTACATTGGAGAAACCAAACGACATATCTCGGACCGCATCCGCGAACATAAAGCAGACTTGAAACACGGTAGAACGAACTCCTCTGCCGTGGCAGATCACTGTCATTATTCAGTGGGCTCACATGACATTGACTTCTCCAAGACGGAGGTTCTTTGCAAACCAACCGGCTACCATGAGAGATTCGGTCATGAGGCCATTCACATATACAAGCACAGAGACAATTTCAACCGAGAAGATGGATTCTGGCTTAGTAACCATTGGAAAGATGGTTTAAACCATTTCTGTTCTTAATTAATTGTATTTTACGATAACCTTCAGACCACAGCTCTTTCGCCAGCATTGACTCTTAATACCTCTCACACAACGGTTAATGGTATATTTTACAACATAGAGTATAATAGCGCCTCGCAGCTGTCTCTCTCCCCCTCCTCTGTTCCGACCATGGATGAACACGTCCGTCTGAACTGGGCCCGTAGCTATTCGTGTTGCTAAAGGTGAGGGTAAGAATCCACCCATTTTTTCGCCATATATCATTGTGATATATAACGACTTATTGTTGGTAGCTTAGCCGATTGGAGAATATAGAGTTTATTGATAACATTGAGGTAATTTATATTTTATTTTTTTATTGGTTCACTATATTGCACTGTGAACAGCTCAGATGTGTAGGCCTTGACTTCAACATAGCCATTTCTGTGACCAGTCACTAGCTAATCACTCAGTTATTTCATTGATAAATTCGCCTAGTTATTTCAATACTAAATTCTCCTGTTTGATTTGTACTAAGTGCCTCGGTGAATGTGTATGCTCTGACTTTAACAGCTATTTCTGTGACCATTTACAAGCTAATCACTCAGCTATTTCAATGCTAAATTCTATCCTAATTCCTTTGTCAAGGGGTGCCTCTGCGGATGTGTATGCTTTAACTTAGCTATTTCAATGCTAAATTCTATGCTAATTCCTTTGTCAAGGGGTGCCTCTGCGGATGTGTATGCTTTAACTTTTAACATAGCCATTTCTGTGACCAGTCACAAGCTAATCACTCAGCCATTTCAATGCTAAACTATATGCTAATTCCTTTGTCAAGGCGCTTTGTTTCCTCTCACACAGCTTAAAGGTCGTGATCTGAACGTGGCTTTTTCACTCCAGCGCTGTCCTACCAGACAGTCTAGTCCCTTCACCTGATGCAGGCCGCTTGTGTTGTTGCCGAAACGTCGTGAGAATATTATTGTGTTATTTTATTTTATCAATTTATTATTTTATTCTCATTCTACGTGACTTTACCAAAAGAACCAAAGAAGATGAAAAACTATACTGTATTGGGTTTTCTAGTCATCCTTTTTAAAACAAAAGCAATGCCATGGCTTCCATTCACTAATATACATGTTTGGACATTACATTGTGTTATATTCACAAGTCTTTTTTGCAGTAAAAAAATAACGATATTAAAGTGAACATCGCTTCCGCGTTTCTCATTGGAGGCTGATGGAGAGGGATGGTACTGAAAGAGCCACTCCGCAGCGCCGCGCACTACGATCCTCTGATTTGCATCTCGCCTCCTATAAAAGGAGATCAACGCACGTCCTACAGGCACACTCGTTCTCGTTCTTTCTGACGTGCCACAGCTGTACGCGTCGACATGCCCGATCCTCCCGCATCAAAGAGCGCTGGGCCGGCAAAGGTTCCTGCCCCCAAGAAGGGCTCCAAGAAGGCCGTGACCAAGGCTACGCGCAAGGATGGCAAGAAGCGACGCCACCGCAGGAAGGAGAGCTACGCAATTTACATCTACAAGGTGATGAAGCAGGTGCACCCCGATACCGGCATCTCGTCCAAGGCCATGAGCATCATGAACTCGTTCGTCAACGACATCTTCGAGCGCATCGCTTCCGAGGCGTCCCGCTTGGCGCACTACAACAAGCGCTCCACCATCACCTCTCGGGAGATCCAGACCGCAGTGCTGACTGCTGCTCCCCGGCGAGCTGGCCAAGCACGCCGTGTCGGAGGGCACCAAGGCCGTCACCAAGTACACGAGCTCCAAGTGAAGCCTCGACTCAACCATTACTTACAAAGGCTCTTTTCAGAGCCACTCACATCTCCGAACCTGCTTGTACCAGTGTTAGCAGGAGCGCAAAACGAAACTTCAAACATAGAGCACTTGTCCAGGGTTTTGACGTTGAGCGCCGATTTCTCGTCAGCGTAGACCGAGCTGGAGTCGCAGCCGGGCGCTCGGGACTCGCGGTGACGCGAGGCGCCGTCTGCTGCTGCCGAATGCAGCAGCGGCCCCGCTCTCGGTTCACGCGGATCATCGTTCATTGAGTGAAATGGAGAGATCCAGCGCATTTTTACCTGTACCCACGTGAAAAAAAGCAATAACAATATTTATGCACATCATATTCACCATTGATTTCATCTGCAGCCGATCCAGATATAACATTGGATATGTGGCGTCATAACCTTGCAATGCAATATATTTAATTCCTGGTTGTCACGGCAAAGCATAGTGTGAACGCGATATCGGAATAGGTGACAATTTCTCATGGGGCGAATTTATACTTCAGTGATCGTGATTTTTATTTATTACAAGTGAAATACAACCTAGTTTAAATGTATTTTCGGGCACGAACTAACATTTTGCACGTATATATAAAAGTATGCGCCTAGCATGGATGACTCGTGCAGTATAACTGATGATCATCTCAATGCCAAGAGAATAGATATATATCCCTGTGATCACCTCTTTCCGGCATTTTTGCGTATTATTGTTTCCAATAAAGTGCAGTTTCTTAACTTTTTTTAGATTGATGCAGAGCACTGTAAATTTGTTTCCGGAAAGGTTTTTGCTTGAGAAAAGAAAATCCGTTAAAGACATCAACGGCGCTCAAAGGTACTACTGCATTGTGATGCGGCATTCTGAAATGATACAAACTATGCACATTTTGTTGATTAAGAAGAGGAGTTCACGACTCGAGATCAGTGCACGCTGCCAACCAACCAGCACGCGCCCCTTCGCACGTCACGACTCCGCTGACCAGTGAGCTCGCGCTTTGCGCTACATAAGCCGCCTTCTCCCCGCCTGTGAGAATATCTTTGCTCTCACCAAGCCATGGCTCGCACCAAGCAGACGGCTCGTAAGTCCACGGGCGGCAAGGCTCCACGCAAGCAGCTCGCCACAAAGGCAGCCCGAAAGAGCGCTCCGGCCACGGGCGGCGTCAAGAAGCCTCACCGCTACAGCCCCGGCACCGTCGCTTTGCGCGAGATCCGCCGCTACCAGAAGTCCACCGAGTTGCTCATCCGCAAACTGCCCTTCCAGCGCCTCGTCAGGGAGATCGCGCAGGACTTCAAGACCGACCTGCGCTTCCAGAGCTCCGCTGTCATGGCTCTGCAGGAGGCCAGCGAAGAGTACCTTGTTGCGCTCTTCGAGGACACCAACCTGTGCGCCATCCACGCCAAGCGCGTCACCATCATGCCCAAGGACATTCAGCTCGCCCGCCGCATTCGTGGCTGAGCGCGCTTGATCGCCCAGCTCGGCCCTCAAAGCACAACACAAAGGCTCTTTTCAGAGCCACCACTTTCGCATGAATAAGCTAACTTGTGTCCTTTAAAGTCCGCATGCCTGTTACGGCGACCTTCGTTTGCCAGTCACGGCTATCACGAGTCGCAAGGCTTAAGCGACCAAGTTCATTTTCTATACCCCTCTGCTCATATTTTGCAATATCACAAGTCGTGTTGTATTTAAGCGTTGTGAAACCATGTCTACATAATGTACAGTAAACGGCTAATTTCGGTGAAATACGTGAACTATTAAACGCTGTTTAAAGCTCAAGCTGAAAATACGTTCGCATTTTGCAAACTAAGAGACTGAGTTATTCACGCACATATATTTTTAGGCATTGCCCGAAGAGGGGGTTAAATTTATATATATACCGTATAGGCACGTGGGATATCAATCATTAGCTCAAGGCTATCACAATGGTTTCTTATAACCAATGCGGTCCCTCAAATGATGATTATAATAAATTATACATTGATAGTGGCGGAATCAGCTTGCCGCTGAATTTGTTTACGGTTAACTCTATCATGCTTAATACTTGAACCTATTAAGTACGTGTATCGCATTGTTTCATTCATAAGATGTGTCCGCATAAAAAGTATATATATAGATATATATAATTAAAGTCAACATCGAATCCTCGCATCCCGGCTTTTCATTGGTCTCTCAGGAGAGGGCGGGACCAACCTAGAGGAGCCATTCAGAAGCGACGCGCTCTACGATCCTCTTCTCAGCTATAAAAGTCGCTCAAGGGGGTGCGGACGATCATCACAACTCGTTCTTGCTTTGTCTCCAGTGGTTTTAGCAGTCTCGGTCCCCTAACGATGTCAGGACGCGGCAAAACCGGTGGCAAATCTCGCGCAAAGGCAAAGTCCCGCTCTTCCCGCGCCGGCCTGCAGTTCCCCGTGGGCCGCGTTCACAGGCTGCTCCGCAAGGGCAACTACGCCCAGCGGGTCGGCGCTGGAGCACCCGTCTACCTGGCAGCCGTGCTCGAGTATGTGGTGCCACAACAGCGAAGCCGCTCCGTCGAAACAGGGGCCGTCGCTGTGCTGCTGCGACCGAGAAGCCAACCGGCTCCCATCACAGCACTTCAACCGCCACCCCCCCCCCCCCCCAAAACACACACACTCAAGTTGGGCCTCAGGGGGAGGGAGGGGGGCACCTGCCCTGAGTTTTTACCCGAGAGGCCCCCTCGTGGGGGTGCTCCACGGTTTCTCAGGGTCAGGGAATTGGCAGGCACCCCCCCCCCCCCCAGGCCAAATGGCACTGCGGCGCCGTGGCTTAACTTAGAGTTAAATTACCACGGCGAACTCACTGAGAACCACAGTGAGGAGATGCTCAAGACACATACGGACCAGCAGACAGGTGGGGAGCGGGGCAGCGTGGGTTAAGCGTCTCTACCCATGGTGCACCGCGGGCTAGCGTCTCTACCCATGATGCACCGCGGATTAACGGCCTGACCCGTGATGCACCGCGGATGGGCGCTGCGAGGGCTTTGAAAGGAGCATAAAAGGGGACGCTTTGGGGAAGCAAGGGGCCATTTTTTTACTTGACTGGAGATCAACAGGAGGGAGGGATCGGGGAGCCGTCACCTGACTGTTACTCGCACGTCCGTGAGACGGGGCAGAGAACAGCCAGAATCTGTTTACAGCATCATCTATCCGCGACCTCCATCGCTGCGAGGTCGGACCGTAAGTACGAGGGAGAAAGGTAAGACAAAGGGACGAAATTCGGAGAGAAAATAGAGGGCAGACAGGTCCATTAAGTATCAGGCAGTAGCGAGATAGGTTAGACCTGTCCTGCTGGTCCGTACTGACACACACAGTCTAGTTCGATACTCGCGGGGAATAAAACTGACACACACAGTCTAGTTCGATACTCGCGGGGAATAAAACTGACACACACAGTCTAGTTCGATACTCGCGGGGAATAAAACCACTAATAGGATAAAGCTGTGTCGTGGTCACTGTGAGTGCGAGGAGGGAGACGGAGTGTTTGGTGTTCGCATACCGGTACGAGTGTGTACAGAGTGTTTTGTGTTCGCGCGCATACGCGGCTGTTTGCAGCGAATAAGGGAGTAGAACGTGCTTAGTGCCGGTACCTGTACGATCGTTTACAGTATTGTTCAGCGCGCGCGTACCTACACGAATATCTTCGGTGATGCCCAGCACTCGTGTACCTGAGCAATAGCCTACAGTAGCGCTTTGCGCTCGCGCGCCTGTGTGACGGGGTGGCGGGATGGCGGGCGCGCACTCGCGCTATTGTCTAATAGCGAATTAAGCGCCTGGCGTGCGTGAATACGCAGCTGTGTAAACAGCCCGTTAAATCGGAGCAAAGTAATTGCGGCGTGGTTGTTTTTGCTTAAGCGCGTAGGTGGGAGGGAATCCCACGGGGGCGCGCCGTGCCTGTTTATTCCCGTGCAGGACGGGGTTTTGCTTTGCGAGCGTGCTCACCGCGACACGCCGCCGTTGAACAGGGTAGCGCATCGCGAGCGCAAAGCGCACGAGTCGCTAATTAAGCTACGCAAACGTGGTCGACATCCCAGGCAGAGGTACAGGGGGGCGAGGCATTAGGGGTTGGTAGTCTAGACCTGACAGAGCAGCCGAGGAGGTAGCGGTATGGATGGAACGGGGGAGTCGGTGGGCAACGGCCCCGACAATTCAGTGATGGCGAGGGACGGTAGCCCCCTCAAGTACCTCTCTGCCGAGATCCTCGAGCTGGCTGGCAATGCCGTCCGTGACAACAAGAAGACGAGGATCATCCCCCGACACCTGCAGCTCGCCGTGCGCAACGACGAGGAGCTGAACAAGCTCATGGGCGGCGTGACCATCGCCCAGGGCGGTGTGTTGCCAAACATCCAGGCCGTGCTGCTGCCCAAGAAGACCTCTCAGGCAAAGAAGTGAACGCGCCGCCGCCTCTACCACCACAACAACGGCTCTTTTCAGAGCCACCCACTTGCTTGCAAAGAGCTCGGACAGTCGTACACAGGGGTTGTGTTATTAGTAAGGACACCGTCGTCTCGTGGCCCTCGTCCCAAATTACTCGCAATTAAACGAATGCTCTGCTCATTATAGATACCCCTTTTCTCTAATTTAGGAACGGTGTTTGAGCAGCATTCCAACATTGCATCAATCATGAAACATGGTTTAGAATAAATTGAGGGCGTTAGTATTTTAAGAAAGTATTGTCTTTTTCAGAAAAAAAACCCGTTCTTTTTGAGCGGTCAGATTGCATAGGCTATTTGACGCCATCACCTTACAGTACACGCGCACGAATTGACTGAAGTTTTTTTTCGGAAATGAGCGATGGAGGGCTTAAAAGGGACTGGGACGTGTGTTGCTGTGCGTTGGTGCAATAAATAAGTGCTTTAACCATTCTACAACTCCTTCACAATGAATAATTTACTACAGTATAGAGTTATAATTAATGATTGACACGTGACATAAGTAGCCTAGGATTTCGAGTTTTTTTTGCATCGTTATGAACACCTTGGTACTTTTCTCGCCTTCAAACAAATGAAGAGGATTCGTAGAATAGTTGAAACACTGCTTGAATTCACCAACGCACAGCAACACTCGTTCCAAACCAACCCCTAACACCCGTCCCACAGCCCCCTTTAACCTCTCCGCCCTTGCTCCCAATACACATCCACGTCTAGTACGCCTCTGGACCTGGTGACGTCATTTGCCCTTTAACCCCTGACCCGTCCAGCTTATTCCCGCGCGTGTGATTGGTGCGTGTTCCTGAGAGCGGAGATGTCGTGTCTGCGTGGTGCATGTGCGTAAGGGTGGCTCGCAGATCCCTTACACAATAAATTCCATCAACAGATTGCTTGCGTACTCCTTGAAATGATGGGTCGGATCCTCGCTGCACTTCGACTCGTCACACGGACGTTCGAGTGGCTGGGAAGTCGACGGGCCCGAGCCTGGCTTGAGTACAATACGAACTAACTCTATCCCTACCTTCTCTCCTATTTTTTTAAAGTCCTCTACATCAAAGATAAATCGGTGCTAATCCGCTGGCCTCCCGTCCAATCAGGTGCCTCGGATTTCCCGCCACTCTCCCCGTACCGGTGCTCTCTCAAGACGTCCCCTTTTTACCCTCTAAACAAGCGCATCTGTCCTCCCAATCAGAGGATCGGCCCTGTTTTTCCCGTCGTTCGTGACTCCGTCCCTCCGCTACCTGCCTGCTGACCCGTGTGTGTTGTGTGCGCTTTCTACCCGCGGTGGCTCAGCAGCCCCGTCGTGACCATGTAATTACAACCAAAGTCACGGCGCCGCGGTGCACGTTTGCATCGGGGGAGGTCGCCCAATTCCCTGGTCGCAGGAAATCGTGAAACTTGGTCCCATGAGAGGTCTTCTAGGTGAAAACCTGTCGGCCACGTGACCTCCCCTCGGCGCTCTATGTGGGGGTGTGTGTGTGTGTTCATGTGTGGGGGGTGGTGAGGGAAGAGCAGTGTCGGCCCCGTCGCTCGGAGGTGGCGGCGTTGCGGCCACGGCGTCGGCAGGACGGCTTCGCTGCTGCGTCATCACAGTTGCAGGCACGGCTCCGACGGAGCGGCTTCGCTGCTGTGGCACCACAAGTACGAAAGAGAGAGTTGGGATTTAAGCGTAAAAGCCTAGGGAGGTTAATTCGAAATAGGCGGGACAGATTGGGTCTTAGACCGTCGGGAACAAGTTAGTTATTCTACTAACATTGACTCCGGGCTACGTAATATTTAGCCTTGGACTCGCCGAGAATAAACTGTTAGTGATCAATAACCTTGTCGTGTGGTGTCTGCGAGTACGGGAAGAGCGCATGGCGGTTTGAGTCCGCTCGTCGTAAAATGAAGATTAACCAAAGTTCCTGCGTCATTGTGCCCTGTGTTTGCACGCAAGTGCGTATTTTCCCACGTGTTTGCGCTCGCCCACGCGTGTTCGCTCGGGAATTAATGCGCAGGTATTATAGGCGGTAGTGTGCCGGGGATTGACGCGCGAATATTACCTAGTAAATTGAGTGTGGGGGGGGCGAGTGAGGGTGCGTAGTAGCTGTGGTGCCACAACAGCGAAGCCACTCCGTCGAAACCGGAGCCGTCGCTGTGCTGCTGTGACCGAGAAGTCACCCGGCTCCCGTCACAGGACTTCCCCCGCCACCCACCCCCCCCCCCCCTCATAAACACACACACTCAAGTAGGGCCTCATGGGGAGGGGGGGGCACCTGCCCTGAGTTTTAACCCGAGATGCCCCCTCGTGGGGGTGCTCCACGGTTTTTCAGGGTCAGGGAATTGGCAGCCCCCCCCCAGGCCAAATGGCACTGCGGCGCCGTGGCTTAACTTAGAATTAAACGACCACGGCGAACTCACTGACAACCGCAGTGAGGAGATGCCCAGGACACACGCGGACCAGCAGACAGGTGGGGAGCGGAGCAGCACAGGTTAAGCGTCTCTACCCATGGTGCACCGCGGGTTAGCGTCTCTACCCATGATGCACTGCGGATAAACGGCCCTACCCATGATGCACCGCGGATTAATGGCCCTACCCATAATGCACCGCGGATTAACGGCCCGACCCATGATGCATCGCGGATGGGCGATGCGAGGGCTTTGAAAGGAGCATTAAAAGGGATGTTTTGGGGAAGCACGGGGCCATTTTTATTTGACTGGAGATCAACAGGAGGAAGGGATCTAGGAGCCGTCACCTGACTATTACTCGCACGTCCATGAGACGGGGCAAAGAACAGCCAGATTCTGTTTACAGCATCATCTATCAGCAACCTCCATTGCTGCGAGGTCGGACCGTAAGTACGAGGGAGAGAGGTAAGACAAAGGGACGAAATTCGGAAAGAAAATAGAGGGCAGACAGGTCGATTAAGTATCAGGCAGTAGCGAGATAGGTTAGATCTGTCCTGCTGGTCCGAACTGATACGCACAGTCTAGTTCGTTTATTCGTGGGGAATAAACTGTCTGTAGGGTATAAACCGTGTTGTGTTGTCTCTTTGAGTACGGAGGGGCGGTGAGTGGTGTGGCTCGCCTGACCGCAATGATTCTTTTGTTTGCGCGTTAGTGAGTAATTTTACCCACGTGTTTACGTTCGCACGGGTGGGTCCACTCGGGGCTTGACGCGCATGCCGGGGCAGCAATTGTTAGGGCCGCCGGCCCCCGGGATCTCTCCTGCCTGCGAACCTGTCCGTGAAGTACCGACGCTCCCAGACTCTCCACTAGTGTGGGAGCTGCCGCCGCCGCACTCCTCCCCGGGCGGGGAAAGGTCGTCGCGCTCCTGTTCCCCCCCCTGTGCTGTCCCCCCCCGAGTCCGGGTTTCCTGACGGTGAGGCATCACCCTCGACCGCCCTGGGACCCGCTAGCGCTTCGCCGGCACCCAAACGCGACGCTCCCCGCCCGCGCAGTCCCACGCACCAATCACATGCGGGTAACAGGGGGTTAAAGGTCGGAGGGTAAGCGACGTCGTTCGTGCTCACTCCGGCGATTGGGGGGATTGGATTAAACGGGTTTAAAGGGCTATGCGATGGGCCTGCGTGCGAGATGGGTATCCGCTCGCAACGTGGGAGTCCGCAGCCGACGGTTTGTAGCGCACACACTCTACCGTAGTCATATGTGCCCGTACTTGGGTTACCTTGTTGTCCACTTGGGTTACCTTGTTGTCGATCCCCCCGATGCCCGCCTGTATCCCCGCTACCCATCCCGGGGTGGTCTCGCGGGATACCGGAGGCCCCCTTTCCCGACCCCCTACCGTCCTGGCAAGCTCCTGTTCCTCCTCTTCCTCCTCGGTGGACAGACTTGCGATGGTGCGCTCCCGTCCCAGTCCTCGAAACTGTGCGCGTTCGCTAGAAATTCTTTCACATTTGCGCGCGCGCTCGACAAGGGCATCAAAGGGGAGGCGCGTACAGTTCACGTCTGGCTGCCACCACGCCGTGCGCGTTAAGTATCGCTGGATTTTCTCTGCGGCCAGCTCCTCAATCGCTTCCGTGGTGTACCTCGGGCGTGCGATCTTTGTTAGCTCACGCACATCCTCGGCATAATCGCGCAGGTCCTCGCCGGGTTGGCGACGGCGTGCCTCTAAGGCCGCTTTTGCCTCCTCCTCATCGCGCGTACCGAAGCGCAGATCAAGTCGGCGCATCAGCTCCTCTAGCTGTGTCTGCGCGCTTGCGGGTAGGGCTTCCACAAAATCGGCTGCCCGCCCATCCAGATTCATATTAAGTTGACGTAGCGTCTGCGCGTCCGTCCACCCATTAATTTCCTTAGCCCCTAGGACGTTGCGGGCAAATGCTTTCCACGAAGGTGTACCCCGGCCAGTGAATATATGCCTTATTTTCGCGTGGGGTAACGCGGGGGTTCATCCCACTTCTGACACCAAATTTTTAGGGTCGCCGGCCCCCGGGATCTCTCCTGCCTGCGACCCTGTCCGCGAAGTACCGACGCTCCCAGACTCTCCACTAGCGTGGGAGCTGCCGCCGCCGCACTCCTCCCCGGGCGGGGAAAGGTCGTCGCGCTCCTGTTCCCCCCCCTGTGCTGTCCCCCCCGAGTCCGGGTTTCCTGACGGTGAGGCATCACCCTCGACCGCCCTGGGACCCGCTAGCGCTTCGCCGGCACCCAAACGTGACGCTCCCCGCCCGCGCAGTCCCACGCACCAATCACACGCGGGTAACAGGGGGTTAAAGGTCGGAGGGTAAGCGACATCGTTCGTGCTCACTCCGGCGATTGGGGGGATTGGATTAAACGGGTTTAAAGGGCTATGCGATGGGCCTGCGTGCGAGATGGGTATCCGCTCACAACATGGGAGTCCGCAGCCGACGGTTTGTAGCGCACACACTCCACCGTAGTCATATGTGCCCGTACTTGGGTTACCTTGTTGTCCACTTGGGTTACCTTGTTGTCGATCCCGCCGATGCCCGCCTGTATCCCCGCTACCCATCCCGGGGTGGTCTCGCGGGATACCGGAGGCCCCCTTTCCCGACCCCCTACCGTCCTGGCAAGCTCCTGTTCCTCCTCTTCCTCCTCGGTGGACAGACTTGCGATGGTGCGCTCCCGTCCCAGTCCTCGAAACTGTGCGCGTTCGCTAAAAATTCTTTCACATTTGCGCACGCGCTCGACAAGGGCATCAAAGGGGAGGCGCGTACAGTTCACGTCTGGCTGCCACCACGCCGTGCGCGTTAAGTATCGCTGGATTTTCTCTGCGGCCAGCTCCTCAATCGCTTCCGTTGTGTACCTCGGGCGTGCGATCTTTGTTAGCTCACGCACATCCTCGGCATAATCGCGCAGGTCCTTGCCGGGTTGGCGACGGCGTGCCTCTAAGGCCGCTTTTGCCTCCTCCTCATCACGCGTACCGAAGCGCAGATCAAGTCGGCGCATCAGCTCCTCTAGCTGTGTCTGCGCGCTTGCGGGTAGGGCTTCCACAAAATCGGCTGCCCGCCCATCCAGATTCATATTAAGTTGACGTAGCGTCTGCGCGTCCGTCCACCCATTAATTTCCTTAGCCCCTAGGACGTTGCGGGCAAATGCTTTCCACGAAGGTGTACCCCGGCCAGTGAATATATGCCTTATTTTCACGTGAGGTAACGCGGGGGTTCATCCCACTTCTGACACCAAATTTTTAGGGTCGCCGGCCCCCGGGATCTCTCCTGCCTGCGACCCTGTCCGCGAAGTACCGACGCTCCCAGACTCTCCACTAGCGTGGGAGCTGCCGCCGCCGCACTCCTCCCCGGGCGGGGAAAGGTCGTCGCGCTCCTGTTCCCCCCCTGTGCTGTCCCCCCCCGAGTCCGGGTTTCCTGCCGGTGAGGCATCACCCTCGACCGCCCTGGGACCCGCTAGCGCTTCGCCGGCACCCAAACGCGACG